GACAATCTAAAGTTGTACATGTGACTAGTTGTATCCTCACAATATGTATTATTACCTACTATCAAATAACCAATAAAAAGTTTCAGCTGATGGCATTGTATCAATAAAAAAAAAAAAAAAAAAAAAAAAAAAAAAAATTCTGCAATAAAAATTTTTTTCATATTATTTCAGATATTTGCACATTATTTTGAAATTTTTTTCAAAATATTTTGAATGATTTTTCACAGATTTTTAAAATATTTTTCAGAAATTTTTGAAATTAATTATTTCAAAAATTTTTGCTTTGATCATAAATCTTTCGAAATATTTTGATCTGAAATTTCCTTTGAAAATTTTTGGCTAAAAAATTTGCTGATGTATTATATCTAAAGATCCTTAACTATAATTAATAATTATTAGAGAGTTGTAATAAGAATAGTAAAGTTTACTAATTCTATATATCTGTAGTTCTATAGTAAGTTAGATTTATCTGTAAGGTTAATAGATATATATATTCAACTCTTCCTATTGATCCTCTGACCACTTTTTTCCGAAGAAAACCCAACTTGCGAAAACACTTTTTTATTATACAGATAACAATATTCTTTCCTAAGTGTTCTACAATGTATTGTAGGTGAATACCTTCCTTGCAAGCTCTTTTTAGCCATATTATCTAGAAGTAATTTCTTGGGTACTATTGAAAAAGTAGTAGCAGAAGCAAGAAAAATTGTCAAATATCTCTGTTATTTTAAGTGATACTCACTAGTAGTTTGCTAGCATGGGAATAGCTAGATATAATATAAATTTGTACTGTTTAATAAGAAAATAAGTAGCAAAATCTTACTCTCTTAGAAATGGCCTCTTCTGACCTTGTCTTTTGGATTTTTTCTCTAAACCGTTTGGAGTGTTTTGGGAGATTTGGCTTACCTCCTCCAAAAGATCTACATCACACATCGACAAACACTATTGGATATTGCCTGTTGTTTCCCACACCGTACACAAACAACAAACATGTGCTAAGCCTAACATGTGCTATAGGAAATCCATGTTGATAATATTCTCTCTGTAAGACGGTACTTTACTCCCTTGAGAATCTAAAGAATAACTTAGATGTTATATATACACAATTTTTATCTAGTCTCCTACTTTGGTAGTAGAACTTTATTTTGTTTGTTTTATTTTCTTTATCTGTTTGTTGTTTAGAGATTTTTATCTGTTAGCAGGTTTCCTCTATTCAACTATTTTATATGATACATAACTTTTGTGTTTTTCGTTATATATATAATTTTTATTTATCCTTTTCGCTATATGAGAAACTATTATCAGTTTAGTAGTAGTCTATTGTATAAGTAAGAAGTCATGATAGGCTGTAGTATCCATTCAGAGATTTGTTGTTATTTTTTCAAAAGATTAGATAGTAATGATGAGGGAAAAGACTCACTATAGCAGATTATATATAGATACCTTTAGGGTAACTGAGTGAGTTAATACTTAAAAAATTGTGTAGTTAGATATATTTTGAGTAAATATATATTCTAATATTTTTGTCGAGCACAAAATTTATTGCAAATAAAGTATTGGCATGACTTGCCAAAAAGGTTAAAAAAAAAATACTGTTATTAATATTTATAAGAATAATAAAGTAGTATTTTAGAACTAATAGACAAAGAACTGATAATAAATTTAGTTATAGAACAATACAAACTTCTATTTTTGCATTCATGAAATCCTACTAGAAAAAATTGCATTATCGATGGATTCTATATCTAAAGAATTTAAACAATTGTTTATAAAAATATATGAATACTTTGATAATTTTTAGCATATATTTAATAAGAATATAGCCTCTCTTGTTAAGAACTTGCTAGTTAAAAATTAGTAAATTCATTAATAATACAGAATAAATTTCAATATACAGTATAATCTAAACTATTCATAACTATTCTTTCTATAGTGATCTAACTGATGAAAATATTAAGAAGTTTATTGCTAGTAAAGTCTGGTGACAAAAACTTATCAAATACCTTGACACTTGTGATTTTTCAGAATTTAAAAAATTTCTATTCTTGCTCAAGTCTCTTGAAAGCTTTGTTGCTGAAAGTTTAAAAATCTATATTAAATATCTAATTGCAGTTTGTAATCAAGAAAAACTATTCTATAGTAAAGATGTTTTGACAAAAATTAAAAAGCTTGATCAACTTACCTTTCAATTAACTATTCCTTCAGCAAGTCGATGCAACTATGTAAATGAATTGGAACTTAATCAAACTAGCATAGAATTATCTTCAGATGATGGATAATATATTACTTTTATAAATTATCTGAGTACTCAATTATAATACTGTAAAATTTAAAATAGTTGAAGTTATGTAAAATGTAAATTCTTCTAGTAGAATTTTTCTAACAAAATGACTTATTATTCTAACTGACTGTATTGGCAAATAAATAAAGTTTAATAAAATACAAATCCTTATAGATTCACTTCTCAATAATAACTTAGTCCATTTTTATTCATAACCGATTAGTAAGTATAAAGATTATTTTATTAATCTATGTATTTAAATTCAGAAATTCAAATTCTTACATATTCTCTTCAAATTTCCTCTATTTCTCAAATTATTTAAAAACTACAACACAAAAAATACTAGAAGGCATGTCATCCATATTTTGAAATTCTGATCGAACATTTATGGCCTGACTAGAGCTTTGTATTCATTATTCATTACTCAAATAATGTTCACATTCGATGAATATTTGAGTAAATAATTATCTGATGAATAATTTAAATAAACAAACTTATTCGAATAAGCAAATTTATTAGAATAATTTTTATTATTAGCTGCTTTATACCCAACAACTATATCTGATATGTTATTTGAATAAAAGAATACTTACTGGTATTTGAATAATTTATTCAAATAAAGAATTTGTAAGCTCTAGGCTGACCTATGTGACCAAAGTCAGATTTTCGCATACTTGAAAAGTTCAAAAGGCAGTACCATAAAAATTCAGGCTATAGAGTTACAGTAATTGCGACTACTATTTAGGAATATACAAAAAAAAAAAGCAATTGTAAATTTTTATTGTAAACATTTTTATTTTTCGAAGAATTGATCCAGTAGTTTTAAACTTAAATTTTTAGTCAATTTAATATATTTTATTTCATTTGAATAGATTTAATATTTTCTAAAGTAATCATGATCCTTATAATGGCATTATACAATGATTTCATAGAATGGCACAAACTGTAGGAATTTTTACTCAAATATGAAAGATATTAAAGTCCTAATAGGATTATTTATGATTATCTAGTAAAAGTCTTGTAAGAAACTTTTTTGGCAATTTAATATATAAAATTTTTCTAATATGCTCTTAACATCCTATAATACCACGAACTTTTGCCAAATCGAGAATATTTTGATGATATCGCAAAAATGACGATTTTAGCAAAATACTGTCAACTTGAAAAAATAATCGCAAAAAAAAAAAATTTTGGTTTGGACCAAAAATGGAAAATGAATAATTTGTTTCCGAAAATAAGCACCCCTTATAATAAAAAGGGGGTGCTTATTTTCGGTAATATATGGTAAATATTCATTATTAGTTGTATTTTGAGTTATTCCATATACTTCAAGATTACTACTCTCTAATCTAAATGTCTTATAATTCTTAAACTTGGTAATTAAATAAAATAAAATTTACGTTATTAAAAATTATTTATGAAAGTTATATAATAAATAATGTTTACTTCTCTTAAAAAATTCTTTTAAGAACTAAATAAAATAAAATTTACGATATTAAAAATTATTTATGAAAGTTATATAATAATAAGTTATTTACTTCTCTTAAATTCTTTTAAGAACTAAATAGTGTTTTAAGTGCAACTACACATGACGGTGTACGTGATTGTGCCCAGTTACCATCATCTGTATATATGACTTCTCTTTTACCATCTAGCCACGTTGCTGAAAACACTGAACCAAATCTCCTTCACCAATCTTTTGTACGTTGTCTTATCTATCGAGAGGAATCCACTCAATCACAGCCTCATACTCTGTAGTTTTAAGTTGAAATTCTTTGATACAATCATCAACATCTATATTTTCACTTGTCCATCCTTGTGTTGTTTTCTGAGAGTCACATGTCTGACACCAAGCGTTCGATGTGTTATATCAGTTGCAATTTGCACATTTTCCATTATATTAATCTCTTTTAGAGCCAAAACTATCAAGTGCTAACATATAATTTTTAGTGATCGGGTTTTGAATTAGTCCATATACTTTAAATGTATTATTCTTTAATTATATATAATCTATAAACTTATTTAAACCAAAAAAATTAAGTTATATCCTTAAATAATAAAAAATTAAATATCTTAACTTACTTCTTTTAATATATCTGGTATAAACATTTTAAGCTCCACTTTATATGATGATTGTGTGCATTTTTCGCTATATTTTAACCAGGTTGCAAAAAATCCCTTCCCATCCTGTTGAATGTTATCTAATCAATTAAAAGAAATCCACTCAATCACATCCTCATATGCTGTGGCTTTAAGTTGAAACTCTCTAATGGAATTATCAATAACTTTATTTCCACTTGTCCAACCTTGTGTTGTCTTCTGAAGGTCACATTTCTGACACAAGCTGGAAATATATTATATCGGCTACAATTGGCACATTTTCCATTCTCATTATTTCTTTTAAAACCAAATTCATCAAATACTAACAGATATTTATTTGTGGTCGGATTTTGAGTTAATCCATATATTTGAGATCGTTATTCTTTACGTAATTGCACATAATCTATAAACTTATTTATAAAAATAATAAATTAAACAATACTGAGAAATAATGAAAATTTAAATATTTTCATCTTACTTCTTTTAATATATCTAATAAATTCTGTGATCTAAATATTTATATTTCAAGCTCCACTTTATATGCTGACATTGTGTATATTCTTTATCCGTATATTCTTCGCCCATATATCGTATTCCATCTAACCAAGTTGCTAAAAATCCCTCACCATTCTTTTGAATACTGTCTAATTCTAATTCATTAAAAGGAGTCCATTCGATCACATTCATATACTCAGTGGCTTTAAGTTGAAATTCTTTAATACAATTATTAACATCTTTATTCTTACTTGCAATCCTTGTGCAATTTTTTGTGGGTCACATGTCTAGCACCAAGTGTTATATAGGTCGCAGTTTGCACATTTTCCATTATATTTATCTCTCTTAGAACCAAAGTTCACAAATACGTATTTGTTGCTGTGTTTAGAGTTGGTCCATATGCTTTAAGATCACCATTCTTTAATTGTATATAATCTATAAACTTATTTATAAAATAATAAATTAAACTATTCTGTGAAATAATATTAACCTAAATATTTAAACCTACTTCTTTTAATAAATTTTGTGATCTAAATATTTTGAGCTCCACTTTATATGATGGTCACCAAAATGTTGAATGATATCTAATTTATTGAAAGGAATCCACTCAATCACATTCTCATACTTTGTGGCTTTAAGTTGAAATCCTTTAATACAATGATCGAATATCTTTATTTCCGTTTGTCCATCCTTGTGTTGCTTTCTGAGGATCACACCAAGCACTTGTTGTGTTATATCGGTTACAATTTACACATTTTGATAATGTTCAAATCTTATGAAACTATCAAATACCAACATATATTCGTTTGTGGTCGGATTTTGAGATATTATGAATATTTTATAAACATATCTATTTAATGCATTTGATTCTTAAACTAATAAAATATATAAAATAAATATATAATAATATTCACATTATTAATAGACAAACTAAAGTAATAAATTATATAAACTTACTTCTTTGAAAACATCTAATAAAATTTGTAATTCAGACAACATCTTGAGGTTTACCATATTTGATAGTGTACGAGATTGTGTATATTTATCCCGTTCACCTTGAATTAATCGCATACCATCTAACCAGTTGCGAAAAATCCCTCACCGTCCTGTTGAATATTGTCTAATCTATTAAAAGGAATCCATTCGATCACATCCACATATTTTGCAGCTTTAAGTTAAATTTATTTAATACAACCATCGATATCTTTATTTCCACTTGTCCATCCTTGTGTTATTTTCTGAGGGTTGCACGTTTGATACCAAGCTTTTTGCTGTGTTGAATCGGTTACAATTTGAACAATTTCCATTGTTTCTATTTCTTTTAGAACTAAACTTATCAAATACCAACATATATTCATTCGTTACAGTGTTTTGAGTAGTCTATATACTTTAATCGTAATATTCTTTAATTGTATATAATCTATAAACTTATTTATAGAATAATATTTAAGCTTTATTTTGCAAAAATAATTAAATTAAATATTAACTTACATCTTTTAATATATTGTGAGCTGTGAAGGATGGGACCGGACGGGGTAACAACGTGATATGTATCACGTGACTAAGTACAAAAAGTTAAATTTGTTACATTTGGGATCCGAAAAGGTATACGAGATACCAAGTGAAATAACAGTAACCAAGGATGTCATTT